GCCTGCCAGTAGCGGAAAGGAGCGAAATGATTTTCAAAATGCTACAAATAAAAACGCATGCAATTCCTGCCGCAATGGATGTATCCATAGCGGAATAAGAATAAGAAAACTAAAGAAACAATGCAGTCAAATAGTTGCCATTATGATTACTTAACGAACTCAAGTAAGCAAATCAATAAGAAGTGTGAAATAAATATTGCACTGAGAAAGATCCGATTCCAGCCATTCAAGTAAATGCATCAAAAAAACCAATCAACATTGCAAAAAAAAACGATAATATTCAATTTCTATTATATTCAAGTAGCAATTTTACACACTCTTTTTAATAGCAAATTAATAAAAATATAAAAATAATTTGCATCAGGAACATAGCACAATTATATATAAAGTCTGAAATAGTATAATGCCTGTGTGCAGATAGAATAGGTCAAACTAAGTAGAAAAGTCCTCTGTTATTTTTAACAATTAGTAATGAATTATTAATTATTAAAAATCATCAAACAATCGCGTATTTATGCGGCACTGGCGCAAATGCAAGCGTACAATGAAGTGCTCAATAATACACGCATTTGCGGTTGCTAGAAGCGTGAGATATTTAAATATGTGATTTAAAAATGATAGAATATCTATTTATATTGCATACCTCCAAATATTTCATTGCGTTCCTAGCAATTATGATTACATTAGATTGCATCTTGCTTTGCACTTGATATTTATCAATGAGTCGAAACGGATACACGTTTATTCGTAGCAATTTTAATAATTAATAACTTATTCCTAATTGTGAAAATTGTAAAATGATAATAAAATACCTTTCTATTGAGTTTAACCCGCTTTATCTGTATACAAATGTTATATAATTTCGAATCAAACACCTTATATAAGCACAATTATTAAAAATATAAAGTTCAAAAAATGCGAAGCTAACTTTACATATACATGAATTAGGTCCACAAATCGAGACTGATTCAATAGGTACATCCAACGATGCTAAAAAGCGAAGAGATGTAAGAATTTGCATTGCATTTATACCATTATTTATTATTTATATCACAATTATTTATTATTATTATTATTTATTATTTATATTACATTTATATAAAAAGAAATTTTTTAAACAGGTAATGTTCAATGCCGCAATAAAAGGAGAGCTAGGACCATTGGCACAAGCGACGGCCAAATATCAAATAGAACGTAGAATTCAGAAGGAAATGGATAAACTCAAAGCAATAGAGGAGAAACTTAAAAAGATTCAAACGGAGAACATAAAAAATCAAGATGTAAGTAAGAACTACTAATATATATTTTCAATTTTAAATATATATTAGTATTTTATTCCAATTTTAAATAATTTAATATATAAATTATTTATTGATTACAAAATTGTTTTTTTTAATTACATTATATAAAATTATTTAACACATTTTAATTTAATATATATAATTTTATGATTATAAATATGATTATAAATTTTATAATTATAAATAATTTTTTATGAAAAACCGAAAAATATAAGTTTGTCTTTATATATATTTATATAAACAAATTTATTTTTCAGTTTTAATCATAAAGAATTATTTAAATCATAAAATTATATATATATATATATATATATATACAGGATCGTCCCAGAGCAATAGG